CCCTAGAACAGCTTTCATAAAAATCATGGCAGCACGGCATTAACCCCCCCTGAAAATACAAGTGACATTTCGAACAAGCCCACATTTCATTATATCCCAAGAAACTCTTATCCTTTTTTCCCCGGATTTTGGCCACTATTTAAATCTGTGAACCAAAAGGCTCATTCTGCTTGAAAGTTAACAAGGCATAATCTGGGAAGTCTTTGTAGTACAGAGTCCTAGAATATCCTGAGATGAAAAGGACGCACAAAGATCGCCAAGTCCAACTCCTGGCTCCACACATGACCACCCAAAATCCAAATCCTACGTCTGAGAGTTTTGTCCAAATACTTCTTGAACACTGGCAGCTTGGGGCCATGACGTCTGCCCTGGGCAGCCTGTTCCAGAGCCCAGTCACTCTCTGGTGCAGACCTGTCCCTAACCCCATCTGCCCTCCCCTGACACAGCTCCACGCCGTTCCCTCGGGCCCCGTCGCTGTCACACAGAGCAGAGCTCAGCGCTGCCCCTCCGCTCCCTGTGAGGAGCTGCAGCCGCCATCAGGCCTCCCCTCAGCTCCTCAGCTCTGGGCTGAGCACACCGAGGGACCTCAGCCGCTCCTCCTACATGCTGTCCTCAGACCCTTCACCATCTTCACAGCCCCCTTTTAGAAGCCCTGTAATAGCTCTATCTACTTTTTAATGCTGTGGCATCCAAACCTGCACAAAATGCTCAAGGTGAAGCTGCACCAAGCAGAGCGGAATGGGACAATCCCTCCCCTCACCTGGCTGGCAGTGCTGGATATGATGCACCCCACAGTACAGTTAGACTTCTTGGCTACCCAGATTCAAATTGTCATCAACCAAAGCCCCACTGCGTGTTCCGTCAAGAGTACTCTCTACTTTCACTTCTGCCAGGCTTCATTTAACTCACTTGCTTTCAGTCCTCTGCGTCCTTGCCTTAAATGGGTTGAGAGTTAACTCATGTTCTGAGTCATATTAGCACGCAGACCTTTAAGAAAAGGTCTTGGACCTTTGGACTTGCTGAGGTTGCTCATGTTTTGTTGGTGAAATTCATTTTAGTGAGGTGTCATTCTCAAAGCATACCTGTTGGAAACAGGCTTTGGTTTTGGAAACTCAGTTGATATCTACATGGAAATCGTAACTACGGCCAGTATCAGAAAATATCTCACACTCAGGAAAATGATGAAGAAACAGAGCCCAATTCAAGGACAAAAAGCAAACAAAAACTACCTCCCACAAAACTGTCCCAACATTTCAGTCCGTCCCCTTAAAGGACACTCATCAATTGTGATGGAGCATTGTAGGGCTCATGTCTTTCTGTTAAGAAGTGTGAGGAACAAGCCATGCAAATGCAGCACACATGCATCCCAGGTCCTGTTGCTGCTGCAGTTAATGGCATACTGCGCTGCTTCAACCTCGTTCCCAGCCATGCGATGTTTTATCAGTCTCTGATTCCTACAGCAGGAGAGCTACAGCACATCAGTAGCTCTTTTCCCTCTTAGGGAAAATCCAGCTTCAAATACATTTTATGTACATTTTATCATGTAACTACACTTACAAGATACACAGGATACTTTGAACAGTATATTGGCAAAGGGAGCATAAGAAGTCTAATAATAAATGCCAATGGTGTTTTTATTTCGAAGTATCTCTGAAAGGAACTTAGATGGCCTTTTAGTTTCCATTGTGCTTTCACACAAAGAAGTTCAGCTTAAATTTTCAAACATGATGAATAACTTTTGGATAGTCAGTTTATTATATTTTGAAAGACATCATCTTTCAAACAAGCTTAGCGACTAGCACACAGAAAATCATCTTTAAGAAACAAAAAAGTTTTGAGTATCCAAAATCAGGCCTTTCTGAACATTAAGCTGTTCCCCAGCATTCAGTTATCTTATTTGCTTCTCATTCCCTGTTATTTCCTATCGAATGACTTACTAGATTCTCTCCCTGCCATCCAAATCAAATACTCTCTGCAGGTAATCATTCTCCTTGCGTCACTTGTTTTCCTCCTGCAGGCACACCTAGCATTTAGTGCTGGTCAATATTCACCTCCAAACTGATCTTGGCAGAAGTCTCCCATTTTACAGATCACAAAACTGAAGCAGACTTCTGGTGAAGGAAGCACACACTGATCTCAAGCCTAGAAGTAGCTGGAGTTGCTCCAAGTTTTACAGTAGTTTTAACAGAGACCTACAGCATTGTCATGGCAGAAGTGGGATGCAGCAGGACCTCCTGACTAACATGGGGACTTCTTGCCAGGATCATCATGTTCTGCATAAGTTGAGTCTACACAAGTTCAACATACCACCAGCAGACAAGTAAGATTCCATTTCCAGTCCCACCTGAAGAGTCTGCCCCGGAAGTCAATAATGCAGTGATCAATCTGACATACCAAGGATATCCATCCTATGAATACTGAGGAACAGATATGCTGCCCAGAGAAAAACTTTTTTCCCCAGAATTGACAAATTTTATCAGATGCCATAACCCTGAATTAACATATGTATAAGTCAAAATCTGCTGTTCTGTTGTTCTTCAAACTGCTACAGGGAAAAAAATAGAAGGAATTCTAAATATTTCAATGGTTCTGGAATTAATGCAGTATTGCAACAGATGGTGAGGCAGTTGCCAAAACTTAATATGAAACATAATATTTAATGCATACTGGTTATTTTATCCTAAGATGCAAACACTTTTTTTTTCACTTCTGAATAAAGACAAAGCCCATCGTGACATATTCAAACTGTTCTGAAACCAGACAGTTCGGGCACCAATACTTAATGGTTAACTGCTGAAGATGGGCAGATGAGCAAGTGAGTCAATTGCTTTCAATCATGTCTTCAATTCTTTCCCCAAGGAAATGCTTGGGTAGATACCATTTGAAAAAGAACAACCTGGAAAGCACACAGATTCTATGTTTCAGAGCTCTAGCCAACATTCTGCAAACTAGCTAACCCAGGAAATGAGATGTAGAGAAACACTAGACTGTTTTGGTCCCCAAAGCAAAGAAACACAACGATGGGTCAGCTTAGACTGGCACGTAAGGTATTTGTTTTCCTTAGATTATTCTCTTTTCAATTAAGAACAATTTTAATTTAGATTGTTTGCTGATTTACAAACCACTGCAGTCAATTATGAATTATCAAGGGCCAATAAACTTACAACAGTACTTAAGAGTTTTGCCAGAAATTGGGAAACTTTTTTCCAGACACATAAGAAGCACAAGATACTTACCCTGAGATATTTTGTCAAGAGAAAACTAAAATCTAGCTGCAGCTTATATGACTGCAGCACACTGTACGGTAGGACTACAGCTACACTGAATAAAAACAGTTAAAGTCTGAGAAGTGAACAGACCTCAGATAAATGGCAGGAATCAGGGACTAAAGCTCATTATTTTGTAGTGAAGTTAAGAGTATAATTCTCCAGAAAAGTCTGTTATAAGAGGAAAAAAACAATTCAACAATGTTACAGAGAAAAAAAGGGAAATAATGACTACTAAAGAGAGAATATAAGAGTTTACTCTATAGCTCATGCACATATTACGCTTTTCACAATGCTTTCATTCTCTTTCATTCTTACTCCTTACTAATGGTCAAAAATTAGTCTATATTGCAAAGCGAAATCATTGCTGACAAGTGGTCACAGACAAATGTGATTTCCTACATCTCCACTTGTAACAAGAGACATACCCTGTTCTAGTTCAGCTGCACCCTTTGTTGTCATCAACTGTCAGCATTGGTTCAATTTAATGCACTAAAGAGAGTCCGAACAATTTGGAAAGAATGATTTAAGTGGAGTGGGTCCCACCCCGCTCCTTCAGAACATACATACAGAACAGCCAAAGCAAGAAAAACATCTAAAAATTATTAGGTTATCTAACAGCAAAAAACCATCAGATCTGGCAGTGGGATTCAAAGCATCTGAAGTTACTTAAGTGTCATGACCAAAAAAATCCCAGAAAAAAAGCCAGCAAACCAAAAACATGACTTGTCAGTTTCCCAAGTTAGATTCACCCATTTCTCCAGCACTTTGTGATAAAGAATGGAGTAACAAAATCAGTATCACATATCATCAGAAGTGTTATATACTGTAAGAAAGTAACATCATTGCTAATTTAAAAGGCAGTCTGTAACTTCTCTGTAGAAGGTAAATCAAAGTAATGCAGATTGCATTGGTGGAGCCTACCATGACTTTAAATCATGTTGACAGTCACTCTCTAATAGCCAAAAGAATTACAGTCTGCTGGATTAATGCTGTACACTGTCATTAGGCTGGCAATTAAATCCCATTTCTGAGATTGTGTGATCTGAGTTACCAACATCTGCAAATATTCTTACATCTTGTGTAACAGCTGGCCACAGATCATGATACACCAAAGGAAAAAGGCCTTTTTAATGGCTCCCACGTTATTTTGGACTTAAAACTTCATGATGACAGCAGCTTCTCAAAACAGCCCATGAATCAAATTTATTATCCAGTTGTCATATGGGACTTCTTAACTCTAAGCCAATATAGCAATAAAGAATCAAGGTCATTGTTTATTGTACATGAATAAAAATTAACCACCTGTTCAGAGTTTTACCTTTTGACACTGAATGGTATTTGGTCTCAGAGACTCCTGACATCTATAACATTTACCAGTTTTGTGAACATGTGAGAAGCCACTCTCAAAGAGCATCTCCACTCATGACAGTCTGTCTCAACCTTAAAAAATGGTCAGCCATTCTGCTTCCAACATCAGTAGCTACACACAATGAGATGGGCAATTCAATTACAGGATGCTCACACAAGGAATCTAAAATAAGGTAGTCAGGGGACTTAGTTTGAAATGCACAGACAGTGAGTTTCTCCAGAGTGTTTTCTCTGAGGCAGATGCCCCAAGCAACTACAGATCACTCACACCAAGCACTGACTGGCACTCACAGCTCACTAGGGACTAGACACATGCAGAGGCGAAGGCCCTCCATCCCAAAGCAGGTGCAAAGTGGGCAGTACCTCTTTGATGCGCTTCACCAAAGCATTCTGGTCAAAGGCAACAGCCTCTGCGCATTGGTGAAGATGGTCCTGGTATCGGAGACACAGCTGCAGCACTTGATGTGGATCCAGCTTCTCCAGCTTGGTGTTGGTTGGAGACGTCTGTCCACTGAGGAGTCCTGCAAAGCAAGGGGAGCAGTGGAGTTAACTCCGATGTTCATATCACCAGCCCAGCTGCAGGCAGAAGCAGCACAGCACATCCAGAATAAACACTTTTAAAGGAATAATTAAAAGTTAATTCGGGCTGCAAGGCTATCGAATGGACTTCAGCAATACAAAGGTCCAGGGGAGGCTAGAAGTGGGAAGGACGTGAATTTTTGGATGTTAAGGTTTCATAGCAGTGTGAAGAACAGTTTGCTATACAGCTTAGCCCTCCTTGACAGAGCTTAAACACGGAATCTAAATGTAGCACCATAAGGCACAACAGCTTGGTTTACACTGGTAAGATGCATGAAGCAAGTCCTGCTTCTTCTTTGTCACAAACCATTCTGAGCTCCAAAAATGACCCTCCTTCTCATTTAAGTGTGCTAGAGAAGTAGTCCAGTTCTGTGCTCCCCTAAGGGCATAACACTCAAACTCATTTCTAAAAACCATTAAAATTCACTGGTTTTCCAAAGCAAAGCTGAATAAAAAAATGTCCCACCTAAGTTAAATGGGATAAAACGTCCACACTTTGCCTACCTTGACTTTTAAAAGCTTCAGAATCCTTTCATGCTGTAATAAAGCATTTTTATTTACAATCTCAAAGGTACATATATTTTAATTTTATAATGAAATTAAGATTCTTACCTACTCACATGATTCCAGGTTTCACAAAATGCTCACAAAAAAAGAAGAAAAAAAAAATGAAATGGCATGAGACGTAAAAGTGGGCCCAGTGGGCCACTGTTTACATCCAGAGAAACAAAAGGCAAAATCATTTAGAGAATTTCTCCTGCCCATACTTTGCTGCTTGCACAGTGCAACTTGAGAACCTTTACTGAGTCCAATCATACATTGCATCATATGTCAATTTTCTCCACAGCTTCTGGAAAAAGTGATGTTAAATTCTAAGGCCAAACTTTACGTTTATATATATATATATAAATATATTTGTATATGTATGCATATATGATTTTTCTTTCCTTTGTTTATTTTCATGTCATTTTGCTCCAGCATTAGCAGAACATTTTCCTAGCAGGGACACCACCTGTGACAAGCAGCACACACAAATACAATCTGCTTTTTCCAACACATCCGCCAGGCTACATAAGCTGAATTCGGTAACTGCACGCACACGTCCTTTGGGGCTCTCCATTTTACTGACAGGAAAGGACATAAAAACAGCAAATGCAAGAAAGTATCACACCAAGCAATTAAAAGAAGTAATAAATGCAGGTTAACTGAATTGGAAAAGTTGTTCTTCTAAGAATGTACCTCAGTGGGAAATGGAAATTATTTGAATGGGCCCCATGCATACTGAAAGCTACAAACAAGTTGTGACATAAAGTTCTTGCCAAAAGACTCACGAACAAGACAGAAAGAAAGACTGAGGCTGAAGATCTTATGAATTTCAGAAAGTTAAACCTCTTCAAGAACATTTCCAGACAGAAAGGAAAACAAAACTAGGACAACAATCTCATCAAATATGATGAAGTGAGTTTACTTTCCATCAACAGTCAACATCTTATCCTCTCAGGATGCTCTCAATTTTCCTTTACACAAACCCTTTCTTTTCCTCATCTTCAGAGAAAAAAAGATAGCTTTGTGTTGCTGACTTGTTGCCCACTACAACAGCACCACCTGAGTCAAGATGTCAGGAGAAGAAATACAGTTAACTGTTTGGTCTCAACACTCTGTATTAACCAAAGCACTTTTTATGTTCTGTAAAGAACCACTTCCATCAAAATCTTAGGTCCAGCAATATCAATTGCAAATCTTTCAAAACTACTCTCAGATGAAGTGCAACACTTTAATGAGTGCAAACCAGAAATCAGACTTTTCTTTTTAAATGTATACACGGCATGTTTTAGCATTCCATCAGATTCTTAGTTCTGATCCTCTGTACGTTTAAATTGTCAGGATAAATGTTCAGATAACATCATCAACTTTTACTACACTGAATGTTCACTAAATAATGAAGAGTTCACCATACACCTGAGGTTACTCTGTTTCCTCACTGATTTAAATACAGGATGCTATCAACTAACTAATTTTCTTTGGTTACTAACCTCTCATCAACTTCAAGAGGAGTAAAGAGAATTATGCTCTATTTAATAGTTTTAATTAAAATGAAGCGTGCATTTGGGCTAACTTAAGCTGCTTTTAAGAGTTTTAAGGAGGAATAGGCCAAGGACAGTAAAATGAGCTACAAAGGGCTATGCTACCTAAACGTACAGTATGTACTTACAGCCATATACAGGTTACATAATGCTAAAAGCAAAGTGAATAAACTGCAAGGAGCCTCTGACTCACCATCCAACAAAACATGAGCTCAAGTAAATGCAGACATTCAAGCTGGAATACATTCATAAGAAGGCAGAAGTTCAAATAAATGACATACATCGTTCAAAGATAGAGGATGGTATCATTTGGGGTGATGCAGCAGGCTGAAGCCAAGGCAATTAGCTTCTCTCCAGATCTCTAGGATCACGCTGCCAATGTCAGAGAACATTTTAGCTCAGAATTTCAATTTATAGGAGATGAAAAATTAGAGTAAGCAACAGAATAAAAAAGGCCAGGTACCTTTCTATCTGGCAAAAAAAAACCCTCAACAAAAATCCATCTCCCATCTTTTCTTGTTCACAGTGACTACTTACTACCCACACTGTAAATATTAACGTTTTATTAATTCACAGCTATTTATTTTTCAGCAAGGTACTCCAAAAGAGCTGATGGCAGCAGTAAGTCATCTTGATACATCATGGAAGAGACTGAAAACAGTTAAGATAATCGAGGAGCACAGGAAGAACCAAAGGATCCGGTCCTGCAACCTGCTGCTCCACATCTCTCTCCTTCATCCTCTCCTCATAAGCAGGCAGCAGTGATCCTAGAAGGCTATCATGCACTATCCAAGAGCTCTGCCCTACACGATAGCGGAGCAGCACGCTGCCCTACAACCACAAAAAGCTTAAGATTCACAGGAGGAAAAAAAAACAACAACCAAGAGACATGGAAAAAAAGGGCAGGAGGTTAAAAAGGGTGTTGCTGATATCCTTTGTTTCTGTACAACAGAGAGCTGAGGAGATAAACTACAAGCCTCCAGCGATTCAGCATTGAGACAGCTTCGTTTCTGGAGAACTGTGAACTTCCAGGTATTATTAAATAACTTTCTTCTTGAAAATCACTACTTCCTTCTCCAAGCTCTGTCCCATACTTTGAACTCTTCACTGAATAGCCCATCCTATGGGATGGAAGTAGAGTTGGCCAATATGCGGATTTTAAAAGGATATGAGATCATATCTCGTGTAACAAAATATTTATTAGGTCAGTCTCTCAAGTGCCAAAAGGTGGAGAGGACAGAGGTCCCCAGTGGCTCAGGCTGCCTCCTGAAGCAGCCAGCATATGAACTCGCTCATCAGCATGCCAGACCTCACTGCTGTCCTCACAATTTCATTTGCATGATTACTGCTTTACTTTCCCTGCCCCCCTCCAGAACACATTCCTACTCTCAGACAGTAAGAGAAAACAACCTAAAATTTCCATTTCTTATTAAACTAGATAGTCATTTTCCAAGCTGCTGGTTCTCGTTCAGACAGATGCACACCAGAAATCACTACTACACCGATTAAAAACTGGAGAATAGATTGCTCAGCATGAGAGATGCAAGCTACCCCAATGTAACAAGGGAAGGTGGCACAGAGGATGGCAAAGTAGACAAACTGAACAGCTATTATGCGAGCAAAGAACATATTTGTATTGTGGCAAGGAATGTTGGCTGTAACAGCAAATTTTCCTCTATTTTGGAGCCCACACCATGTGATCCTTTTATTTCCGCATGGGTGACAGATGGGCTGAAAACTCTTGTCCTGTCGCATCATTTAACAGGCAACTTTTCTGACTAAAGAGCCCAAATATTCTCTCAGTGTGAATGATGTGCTTCAGTTTCCCAACACTGTGAGCTACTATCTGTAAGACAATACTCAGAAAGATACAAAAATCACCTCTGCTTTTCCTTTATCTTAAAACAACAGAACTTAAGGAGATCCAAGACATTTAAGTTTCTTTTAAAAATAAAGTTTCCTACAGGACAGAGATAAAAAAACTCAAACTCTTATGAATCTCCACCTACTAAAGGCACAGACCTTACTCAGAAAAAATTCTTATCTAGAGGAGATTTTAATATTAATTGCACAAAAAGAGAATTTGTAAAATATTTTTTACTTCCAAGTTTCATTTTTATTTAGGCTTAGATCCTGCAAATATCTGTATACCATTAAAATTTCCTCCTGTCACAGAAAGATGGCTATATATAATCAATAACGTGTATTTTTTCTTGTACCAATGAAGTTCACAATTTCTCTGAAGCAGTACCTTTTGCTCCACATTTTAAAGAAGCTGCAAAGTGGTTAGCATGATGGAGCCTGGTCCTGACTGGGACTTTGAACACTGCTGCAAAAATGCAAAAAAAAAAAAAACAAAAACAAAAAACCAAAACCAACACATTCACGTTGAATGATGCAAAAGATTTCTCAGTTAAGATCTCTGTTTTAAAAGAGACAGACCACAAGCAAATCAGAAACGCTTCTGCAATTGGATTTTTATAAATCTGAATATCCAAAAGGGGAAAGAATTTCCCAAGTTTGTATGCACTGAAAGTTACTTACGTATGTTTCTTTCTAAGTACAAGATTGAGCATCAAGCCTTGGAGAAGTTGCTAGTGGCTGCCAGAAAATTAGTTACATGTCCAACTACACTTATTTAGAAACTTCAGGTTGGGAAAAAGGCACACAGTGCGCCCTGAAGAAAAGCAAACCACTGCACCACATCAAATAAAAGCCACCAAGATCCCACCAAGTGCATCTCTCCACTGATTTACTTATTCATTTTAACTTCTGGGGCACAGAAGTAATACATAGGAGTGCTCTCGACTATGCAGTTGCCTAGTCGTGCAGTCCACTTCCTTCCACTGACCTGAAAG